CGAGATCAAAAATTTTAGACAACCCCTAAAAACACTCTTCCAACCACAAAAAAAATGTTTTTTCCAAGGATTTCGGGCAATGTTTGATAAATTGTGATAGGGTTCAATGAATTCAATTTTGTTGTTGAAATCTCTGCTACAAATATAACTTTAGCTCATTAATATTAGGATTGTTGATAGATATTAGATAAATATAAATACTCTATTAAAGAAACCGAGCTCAATTTCATGCGCATACTATCAAATTGATTAACAAACATATTTATATCAAAGAGTACTAAGCTTATGTTTGGCTCATTAAATTTAATGAGGTTGAACACGTCTCGAGATCTGCTCACTAAGGTCAAACTGTTATACCAAGGACGAAAAGCTTCATGGATGGCTTGGTCTGCTTACAAGTTACAACTCGGATGCCATATTGCTGTTCTTCTGTAGTTTTAGTTTTAGTAATTGTTTTACATTTAATTGACTTGATCTGACACATTTTTGTCAACTTATAGGAAGAGAAATCCAAAGGCAGAGTTGTTGATTTTCGGCCAAATATCCTGATGCTTGGGCTATCTCCGTCTTCTTTCGTTCTTCGTGCCGTTTCAAATGTCCACACAAATGATTTGGAGCAAACACTACTGGTAAGCAAGTCAGATTATAGTTGTATTTTGAAGTGCAATTTTCTATTTATAAGCATGGAGTAATTGTTTTATCAGTGATATATTCAACTCTGATTAACTGATTCTTTTAAATACCTTTCATGCTGAAACCTTTTTATTGGAAATGTTATAGTTTTCGATTCATGGTGTTCAATTATTTGACATGTAAACCATAATTATGTGAAGAGGTGTCCGTATACTCCCTCTGTCCCAAAAACTTCTTCCCCTTTCTTTTTTTCTTGTCCCACAAAATCCTTCCCTTTTCTACTAAAAAACCACTTTTAGCCCTACTAATTCTTAACCTCCCTATCACATGATACCTTTTTACTAATAATCTGACCATCACATCTTACTTTTATCCATCATATCAAGGGTACTTTTGGAAAGTCAACACAAAAATATCACTCCCTTAAATTTCCTAAAAGTCAAAATGGGAACATTTTAATGGGATGGAGGAAGTACAATATTGTATCTTATGATAAATCAAGCCATTATCTCCCTTCTTAGTGTGTGCTTAGTTTTGGAATTTGCTTTCTAAACAAAACTAACATTTTGCAGGCACTACCATTCTCTGATGCCCTGAAGCTTTTGGCTTACTTGAGGGATTGGGTTAATTTACCTGAGAAGGTATATTTATAGTTTCTGGGTTAAGGCCTACGGGCCATATTAAATCTTTATATGCATTCTTACAATTCCTTCAGCCATCATCATAGGTCAATTGATGTACCTCTTTGGACTATCACTTGCCATTCATTCCTGTGCAACCAGATGCATAGGATTTTGCTTCATTTTGATGCATATCATAACCCTAGTTTTGTAGTGGGTTAACATTGCATGATTACTACATATGAATCTAAATCTCTTTGTCTCGTGTATTTTTCATTTAGTTACAAACAAGGTAGTCAAATGTGAGATTCTACGTATTATCGATCTACGAAGTAAAGATTGTAAGTCGTAAGATCGTGACATGGATCGTAAGATCCTACACAGTACACATACACCTATATATACATGTGTGTGTCTCCCTAAAAAATATGTGCGTGTATCTCTGATATCACGGCATCTCCGACTAGGTGTCTAGGCGTTGGATGATGCTCGCCATGTGAGTTCGCCTCACCATGTCCTTTTTTGGACTCGTCCGGCATCGACAAGTCATCCAGACACCAAAGGCATAAGAAAGGCTGACAAGGAGTGAGGCATAGGAGGCGACTAACCCTAAGCTAGAAAACCCAGACTCGTTTGACCTTGCAGTAACTCTAGCTTTCAGCCGCCAACCGTTTTTCTTTTTTTATTTTTGAATTGAAACTCCGGATACTATGTAAGAGTATTTTTATTTTTGCCTTTTTTTAAAATTTCAAAAGGTGATATCTTCTCTCTCTCTCTCTATATATATATAATTTCTTGTCTTTACCCTAACTCCTTGCTTATTTCATCTTTTTTCTTTATTCCTCAATTGAGTAATTAATTAATATTTTTAATAATTACTATTCAATTTTTATTACAACTAGTTCTGTTAAAGAAGGGTATGGATCTAAAAGTAGAATTAATAAATTTGTGTACCTTATTTTGTTTCAAATGGATTTTAGGTATGTTGAGTATGTAGTTTGTACTCTATGAATAACAATATCTTATGCGGAGTACATAGTATGAACTGTGCTATATTTGTATCAATGTTACTATAAACATTATTTATGACTAGTTGCCTAATTGTCGCCTTGGCGGCCTGGGGTTCGTTGGGCCGTGCCTTGCCTTGGCACCATGATAACTATGGTGTGTGTGTGTGTGAAGGCGGCGTGCACTTGCAGATTGTTCGAAACTCCGGAGAGGCTAAGAATATGAGGTTTAATTGTGAGTGTGAAGAAATGGAAGCGAAAGCCAAATTATTTAAAAAATATTGAGTTGTCTCTAGGGTTTCTAACATGTGATTTTCCTTCCTGTCAATGACAATGTAAAATTGTGTGATCATGGACGATTGCAGCATTTCTAGTTTTCTACGATCCTTCCGGGCGATCCAGATCCTACCCATTTTCCGATCTTAACAGTGATTGCAATTTCTCTACGATCTTGTTTGGGGTTTCCTCTTAAAAATATGAAGGAAAATCAAATTTAATGGAAACATTAAAGGGTTTGGGTAAATAGTAGCATAAATGATGAAGTTTTAGGTAGTAAATGCGGCAATGCATCACAGGTCTTACGGGAACCTCTGTTTTACACATGGAAGTTGGGATTATATTGGATTCGTTGTTGTTGTCCGAGTAAATGTATAGAGAGGAGAAAGAGTGTAATAAGGCGTGATGCTGTTTCCTTTATTTGATTATTTATCCTGCATTTGGCCTATTCTTGGGCAGGTGGAGCTCGTCTGCAGGATGACCACAGTGTTATTACAACTGCATCATGACCAGCTTGTTTCAACTGTTACTGCTAGACCTCTACTTACCCTTCTAAAAGATGTGATCCCTCTAAAAGTCAAGGTAACTTTAAGGAATTTCATTTTTAATCTTTCTGTTTCTTTAGTGAAAGGATTTGTATTGGGTTAAAGGAGTTCACTTCAAGTACTTAATGCCTGAGTTGGTACAGGAGTGCAAAGATACACTTGGCCTCAACCTAGCCGCAATGGATCATCTCAAGGTAAGAAGCAATGCACATTTTTGCTCCATTGTGATGCTTTTGTTGTTGTTTTGCCTGCCTATTTACTAGTGAAACCTTATTCTTTATGTCATATTTGGATGCTGCCCAATTATTTAAACATTGTCACAAATCTAGCCAATCTTTGTTAGCATGGTGTCACATTGGCACAACTTTAGTATGTGCTTCTAAATTTCCCTGCCGACATGCTGATGTGGCTCATTTTTTACCCAGACTGGAAGTGGTTACATTTTTCTGTCGGAATTAAAATAAAGAATTGGCTAGAACCCAAAATTTCCAAAATAACTTTGGTTTTTAGGCTACACACACATACATACTGATTCTTGATAGTCTGATGCACTTTTACTGCCCATCTCAGCAAATTATGGCTTTGAAGTCGGATGCACCTTTCAAAGACGCAAAAGCAAAATTATTAGAAATACGCGCCCACAACACGAAACGCATTGAGGCAATGACAGATAGAAAGGAAGAGAGGAAGGCGAAGAAGAAGAAGAAACAAAAGAAGTTGGATGGAGGGCATGTTTGGAGCTGATTACCAGTTGGGGGGGGGGGAAGTAGATGCCCTCACAAAGGTTTTGTTTTTTCGTGTTTAGTGAACCAGCGTTATTTTTCCTTGTGTAAAATGCTTAAGCTAGACTTGTATTTACACAATGTAGTAGGGTCTAGGTGACATATGAATCAAATGTTGATCCTGTCCAAATCATTAATATTTCTAAATTTTTTTTCTTCATGAAAGGGTTACACTATATAATGCGGAATCCTCGTAATCCATAGAGATATACACTTGAAAATTTTGAGTCTGGTGTTTAAAGTGGTTTTTGTTATATTCACATCTTGGGCATAAGTTGCTAATATTGATCCTAGCAAAAACATCATTATTTATAAATTGATTCATAATGTGGAATCTTTGAGCTGATTTGAAATTGGTTTTATTCATAGAATAAGGCAAATTAAACAAAATAACACCTCCTTTTCTTTAAGGACACTTAAATTTCATGAAGCTTGGATTTAACTTATTGGGGTCAACGCTCACAAATTATCCTTTTGAATTTTTCAAAATGTGATAAAAGGTTAAGTTCTATGGCATTTCTCTAAGACAAGTTAAAAAAAAAAATTAAGAGCCCTTCTCGAAGGCACCATCAATTTTTTCAACCATTTAATCAATGGCATCAAAATTCAAACTTTGGTTTTAATTCCATTCATTTTTTTTGTTCCCAATCCTCACTACGCATAGGACTATAGGAGCTTGGAATAGAGTTTCTAAATGTCCGAACCTTCTCCTACAAAAATTTCAAACCTGAAGTTTAAAATCTTTCAGATTCTAAAGAGTGTTATTTCACTTGCAAAAATCCTAACATTGAGTTTTTGTGATGTCATGTTTACCTTCTAATTCAGGTTTACTCATAACCCTCTTTTAAAGTTTTGAAATTGATCCCCTATGAGCATTTTTGGCCTATTTTATATGGGTCAAAAGCTCTCAAGTTTTGGCCAAATCTCCCTTTTTTATAGTAATATGTAGGAAGTCTAGAAGCATGTGGCAAAAATTTGGGCAAGACTTTTATATAACGAGCAATTTGGTTTGAAATTTGAGTGTTCCTTTTGAACGTAAAAACACTTGAAATTTTAGGGTAAAATTTGGTTACAACTTTCAGAGTTATAAGTTGCAAATCTCAGATTTTAGGCTACAAACTCTGAGCTCCCATTGAAATAAGGACCCAAGCCTGGTGAACCCATCAAAGAGAAAATATCAAGAGAGGCAAGTAGCAAAAGGAGAAACACACATTTAACTTTGCTGAAATAAAACACATTTGGGTATATAAATATTACTCCATACCCATACAAGATTGTCACCAAGAAATTCGAACATAGCGAAGAGCCCGACAAAGAAGATTAGGTGCTGTCTTCCTCTTCTTCTTGTTCAGAACTTGAGCCATCTCTTCTCCTTTTCCTTGGTGAGAAGTTGGGTGGAAGCACAAGTGCGAGCAGCTTCGGCATCCGCCAAAGCACTCCGAGTCTCATTGAGTTTCCTCAAAACAGCATCGTAAACCGCCTTCTCCCTCCGGTTCCTATTGGCCATCTCCTCCAGTTTCTCCACCCGTATCTTCAGCTCCTTTATCTCATCCTCGTAAGCCAGCAGGCCTCGCCTCCCTCCTCTCTTGGCCTCCTCCCCACCTTTTTCCTTACTATTATTATTATTATTGTTCTTCATGTGCTTCTTCGTCCCTCTCAAAATCTCAGCGTGAACAGAAAGCTGGGAATTGATGAGTGCAAACATGTCAGATTTTGATCCTTCCTCTTTCGCTGCTCTTGCTGCTTCTGCGTATTTCTTTTCCCGTTTCCTCTTCCCACCCCTACTCCGTTGCTTCTCCTTTTTAGGTCCTACATGGATCCCGGAAAACATTGAGGAAATTTGCAAGGGTTAAAAGGGGTAAATGACTCTACTTGCAAGATGGAAACATACCATTGCATTGTTCGTTTCTCTGGGCTTCAAAGGCATGGTCAAGGGATTGTTTGGAAGGTAGAACTCTCACAGAGATGGGATCCAGCATCCCCTGTCCAGCAGAACCTAAGCCCATTCCTTCCTGGTATCCCATGTTCGCCATCATCTTAGAAGCCACACCACGCGTATGATTCTCCCACTTGGCAAAAAGTGTGACTTCTGTCTGGATCCCACTTTGCTGGTTCGTACTCTCTAGAAACCCCAGCCCTTGTGGAAGAGCTGCTGAATCCACATCCTCCTGATCATAGTCGCTACCAGTAGAACCAGAGGAAGTCTCTTCATCTTCATCGCTCAACTCTGCATGCTCCGAAAGGGTAATTGCTTCGGTTCCAAGTTTAGAGGATATTCCCGTGTCCCGGAATACGACATGGCCAAGCTTGAGATTCTCGTCCCACGATTCCAATTCAGCTTCTCTCCAAAGCCCATTTTTTCCCTCTTCCAGAGCCCAGATACTGTACCCTACCATAGACGGACCCCATACTGCAGGAACAAACTTCTTTAAGGAAGATATTGGGACATCGATACCTGAGGGAGACAAAAATCCTCTATCATTAAAATTATGCACATCAGGGATCAATACATTAAAATGTAACTATGAGTACTTATCAGCAGTTCATTAATATGTTCTGATAGCAAGAAAGGATACAAGAATGCAGGAATTTATGCCACAACTTTATGTATGCACAGATGATGAAACTAACTGTTCCTAAGTTTACCGGGAGCTCCTATTATCCTCTTCAACCATTAACCATCAACATTATCAGCGCCTTTAACCTGAACTAGCTGGGGTTGGTAGTAGCATTGAATGAATAGTGCCAATTGATTGTATATAAAAACAAAAGTATCATGACATGATGATGTCCTTCGTGTCACAACCTTCATGAGTGTGGAAAATGATATAAAAATTCTAAAGCCGCCATCATCACAGATCATTACAACGTGCTAGGAAAATATCATGGCACAATGATGAGCTGGTGCACACACACACTCTCTCTCTCAAGAAAAATAAGTTAGATGTTTCTCCATACTCATTTTTTTATTTGTCTATCATGTAAAGATTAACACATATTAATACGGAGTATATAAGAACAACAAACCCCAGTGCCTCAAAGGCTCCCGCCCATTACGGGGTAAGGGATTAACATATATAGATATAAATATTTTTAAAAAATTCAAAAAATTAATATAAGAAGTGCAGCTTCTTGAAAAATAGAGGGTTGCGTTTGCCTAAATTACATCCTTGTAGTCGGATCTATCTTTGAGCCCTCCCTAAGTAGGCAGACCTTTTTAATAATGAAATTTAAAAATACCTTCCTCAAGTATTTAACCTAACCTAGCAGTTGAGCAATTCCCTCTGTTCCCAACATCACAGTTTGCATCCAAGCTCCTGTTAAAGTCTCCTATGTGTATACCCCTCACCGCACTCAAGTGGCATACACACATGAGTAGTAACTGGTGAACCTTTGGGTACATCACTTGAACAGTATATTCTATTAATGCAAAAAGAGAAAAGTCTACACTAGACATTTCACTCCCCAGATTTCCTTTTTTGTTGCTTACTTCATGTCTTACCATATTTTCCATTCCCAAGTACACTGAAACACAATTATGTGCAGTCAATATCTTCTTAAACAGCTAAGTGAAATTCTCAACAGTATTACTTGGCATTCCAACATACCATGTGATAAGCGGCAACTACTACCAAACCGACAACGCTTCTGTAGAAAGAACTGGCACATCTGCACTTCGGTGGTCTATTGTTAGTATGCTGATGTTACTAAACTATTGAGTATTTTATACAGCAAAATAAATATATATGTCAGCCAAAGTCTGGCATGCTTGATCTTGTATAGAGTGGGGCTGCTCTCTGACCAATCCTGATTGTTTATTTTCCAATGACAAATGGATGTCACCCTTCAATAAGTTAACATTGAGTACATGTAAAAATAAAGAAGAGAGAATACCCTCATGATGAAGTATTTTATAGTCTAGGGCAAAAAAATGTTCATCAAATAGTGTGTAGAAGAATATATAAGATCAGAAGTAAGAACAACATAGGAAAGCAATGGCAACAAACCTACCCAGTTAGTCCCACAAGTGTCTTTGGGGGGGGGGGGGGGGGGGGGGNGGTGTATGCACTCATCCCTTACCCCTACAGCCCCTACCTAAAATAGATAGAGAGGTTTCTGAAGGACCTCTGGCAAGAATGGACAACAGAAAAAAAATAAAGGTTGACAATGGGGAAAACATAAAAAAATTCAAACAAACTCCATAAAAAAGGTGCATTATAAAAATAGACGTATTCTAGGCGATGTGAAATGAGGTAATACGAAATATGTTGTGACCTCACAACTACCTAAAAAAGAAATACGAGTAATTTAAAAAAAGAAAAATAAATATATTGTGTAGTTCAATTTACAAATTCAACAATCAGCTTGTTATTGCCCTCTTCAAACAAGAATACAACAACAACAATCCAATTGAATCCCACAATAGTAAGGTCTAGGGGAGGGTGTGTTAAGCAGACCTTGCCCTACTTGAAAGTAAAGAGGTCGTTTCCATAGAGACCCCCGGCTCAAGCACCCCGGCTCAAGCACCTACGTTTAAAACATGGAATGGCTGTTTGCGGATGACCCATGATGAACGTTGAAAGTTGCACTGACTAACTACTACTACACTATTATAAAAACGTAGACAGTTTAAAGAGTCATTTTGCTTTATTCAATCATACCCCAAATCCAAAAGATAATGAATCTTAGGCTCCATCGGAGATGATGGAATCTTCAAACAAGAATCCAGAATTTAAAACAAACTCTTTTTTTAAGTCTCAACATACAAGAACACCCTAGTGCATTAACCGTATTGTAATTATATTATATGATTATATACCCCAAGTTCATGTGATAATATATATATATATATATATATATATATGTATGTATGTATGTGTATGTATATATATATAGGTTTTATACATTTTAAGGAAGCTTGATTGAGAGAGAAGACCGAGAGAGAGAGAAGATAAGTTTAAGTCAAATATTTTTAAATGGGCTGCACTAAAAAAATGGGTTTTTCAAAATTTTAAAGAGGGCCAAGGCGTCAAGGCGAGTTAAGGTGACGCCTAGGCGAGTGCCTAATCGCCTTAACATTTTCTAGGCGAGGCGAGCAGACAAGGCGTCCAAGTGACAACGCCTTATCGCCTAGACAACGCCTTACAAACTATGTCAGACAAAAGTAATTGAAGCTATATACTCCGTATTTGTGAATGTAAAAGGGTGAATGGGTCATAGTGATAACTGTTTTCTTTTTGATAAACTATCAAATAACTCCCTCATCCATAAATAAAGTTCTCGTTGCGCATTACGATGTTTGACTGAAGTTATTTTCAAAGCATTTTATATGAAAAATGGTATGGAATTAAAAAATAAAAATTACATATTTAAAAACTACATGAAAAGATTTATAAAAATAGAGTAGACCTGACTATATTATTTTATCAAATAGGACAAGGAAATAGGCCAACAAAGTGAATAAAGTTTGACCCTGTGAATAGTGTACGGGAACTTTATTGTTGGACGGAGGAAGTATAATCTTAAACTAATTTTAAGGCACAGGTCACATCATATCATGTGCTCATGTTAAGCATGTCAGAACCAACCTAAAACCAAAAGTCCAGCACTCCTATTGTATGAAATCACTTTCATATATCTGAAGTCCAATCTTTTTTCAGTAAAATGGACCCAAATCTGCATAAAATTGTCTATCTGAAGTGGGAAAAAAATACAGAGTATACCAGAAACCTAACATATCATCAATAAGTAAAAAAGGAAAGATCAATGAGGTAAGGCTATACCACTTGCACATGTTTCTAAAACAAAAAAAAGGCAGAACAAAATACACCACAGAAGGGGAAACTGTACCCACCAGCATGCTTTCAGATGTAGGAGTCAGGAATGAAACTAAAGCAGAATGAGAACCCTCCAACTGAACAATCAGGCCATTATACCACCGCCCATCAGTAAAGCGGAACCTACATTTAGATCCGATAGAATACTTTTGATCCACGAGTAGTTCTACTTCATCATTTAAATCTTGTTGACCGACATCTGAAAGCGCTACAGCATCTTTCGTATCAAGAGACTCAACCACGGCATCCTCCGAAAAACTTTTGGAACATTGCATAGAAGCATCAACTTCTCTAAGTAATCTTGCCTGTTTCAAGTGAAGAAGCCCTTCCTCCACTTCTTTAACAGACTGTATAAGCTCTTCTTGAACCTGATATATGGGATTAAGTCAAATCATTTATAAGGCATGCAAAGAGTAGCAGAAACGGTAACGCTAAAATGCACTTTCGTTATGAATAATGAAAAGTTTACACATGTCAACAGTTATGTTATAAAGGGTGGGGTGTACCAATGCCAAAACTCACACGCATTGGGGGTCTGAGAAGGGAAGATATGAGTCAAGGAGGTGGGTTCAACCTTATGCCTCTGTGACACAATGAAATGGGCGACTCCACCAATTGACCCAGGCCTACCTTTTTGTCAAATAAGTTGTGTGGAAAATATATATATATACATCATAAAAAAGGAATTTTTGATGTGTATTTAGGATACCATATACGAATAAAAACAAATAACAACTTAGTATTAGAGGAATCCAATGTTCAGAACTAGAACTCAATTCAGTTGGGTGCTCCACCTTGAGCCCAATGCATATATAGTACACAGATGTTTCAATGTTTCGATTATATTTCCAGTATATTATATACGTTCGTTTTTAAAAAATTAGTATATTTACAGGGCATTCCTATTTGAGGAGAAGAACTATGTTCAATACAATTGAGTGCTAGTATATCAAGTTGTAAAACTCTGGCAATACAATCGATGCACCTAACAAGCCCATACAATTTTATTACACGATCGGCATCACAATACCCAATGATAGTCCCTAGGCTGAGTTCATATGAACTCTGGCATATTCCTAATTCCTCAAGGCTCAACGAAAAGGGAAACGTGTTGTTGCAATGTTAAGTCAATTCTGGTTTCTGCGCAACATCAAATTATTCAAAAAGAGCCCAATTTGAAACGAAAACTTGCTTTAGCAATCCTTGTGTTGGCTCAAAGAATAGTATCAAGTCACAAATTCAGACAAGCAAATGCATTCAACCGAGACAAATTGCAGAACAAACAAAAAATGGAGTCTCCGTGTAAGCAATTTAACAAACAAAACCCTAGTTGGGGTGGGGTGGGGTGGGTGGGGGGGGGGGG